TTGCTACTACATCTTCAGTTTGGGATTTGAAGTAGTAAATGTGCTGATTCGGCGATCCTGTACCATCGAACGGTTGTAAGGTAGGGGCCTTAAATTTTGGTGGGTAGGGAGCTGTATCCCACTCAGCAGGGTAAGGTTGTACTACTCCCTCTTCGCGGAGCTCGCTTCGGTTGGCGATTGCGTTGAGGCGAGCCTCCAGTTCGTCCACCTTGGTGGATTGAGGGTGCAGTTCTTTTTCCATCTCCCTCTCACCTTCTGAGGAGGATCCTAGTTGATGAGTCTCACGATCCGAATGTTCGGTCGCTTTTTGCTTTCCCTTTGAAGTTGTTCTCCGGGAAGATTCAGGTTTGTGGCCTTTTTCAGCAATAAGTTGGGCCATCATATCCTTTAATTGGAAAAGTGTCTCCTGCTGTGCCTGGAGCATGACATGATGTTCGTCCACTCTTTTGGCTATGTCTTCATGGTTCCCTGTTGTGTAAACGGAGACCCCGCGTGCGACAACGAAACTTGAAGATTGGGATTCAGCGACTGCCGAATGTTCATCGTCGGAAACAACACCCTTGGCCAATCTTTGATAGTTAACCGGAGGGATAGCTCCTGTCCGGGTCCGAGTATTCTGATATACTCCTTCGAATTGGTCACAAATTTCCCTAACAGTTGGGGAGTGACCCTTCTGTGACTCATCGGAATCAGTATGTGAGGCCTTCCCTTGACCGATCATGTTGATAGTGACCTGAGGGTACTCCGCTTCAGCTGTCTTCTTCCTGTAGCGGCGTTGTCGTTTGGCAGGCCTAACGACGTTCGTCAATCTGTCGAATACGGACTGCCGAGGTGCGGATGCACAACAAGGGCATTCTGACAGAACTGCCGAGATAAGCCTCTCACATTGACATGAGTGAGCTGCTTGTGCTGTTGATTTTCCTCTCGACAACAATTCCCGCAGATCAGGAACTTGGGAGGAAACTTTCCCCGGGCTTGGAGGTGGAGATGGAACCCCCTGCCCTTGGGTAGGTGAGATTGGTTCTTGTCGAACGTGGATTTTGAAGCCACACTGACTTTTTTGAACCTGACGGACCTCTTGAAGATCGCGTTCTTGAAGGATAACGCGAGGGTCGCGTTTAGCTTTGGAGACGTTAGGCCGAGGCCTACGTTTAAATGATGAAACCGTTTAAGTTGAACGCTCCCCTGAGGGTCGCGTTTAAGTTGAACGCTCCCCTGAGGGTCGCGTTTAAGTTGAACGCTCCCCTGAGGGTCGCGTTTGAGTTGAACGCTCCCCTGAGGGTCGCGTTTGAGTTGAACGCTCCCCTGAGGGTCGCGTTTAAGTGGTGAAATAGACTCTTGAGAGCCATGTTCTATTGGAACGCGCCCCTGGGGGTCGCGTTTGGTTTTGGCAGCTCTGATCTGAGGGCTGCGTTTTGAAGTAACAACGCGCTATTCAGGATCGCGTTTCAGCTGTATAAGCCGAGGCTCATAATCGGGCTCGTTGCCGCGAAGTGAACGTTCTCCTTTGGGAACGCTAGGCTCGGTTGGATTTTCAGAAACGCGGTCCTCGCGTTGGGTCAGCATTCGGCTCTCACGTAAGTGTGCTCGTCGTATGGATCTTCTCCGTCGACGAGCGGCATTCTTTTTGGCTTGTTTCAAAGCCTTAGCAGCAACGTCGCCGACGTTCACAGGGCCTGTTTCCTCCAAAGGCCGTTTGTGGCCCAAAGAATGTCTTGTTGACGCGGATATGGGATCTTCCGCCAGCAGAACCAGTTTGAGTTCTTGGCCGAAGGAGAGGGCTTTCTTCGGCACTTCGACAACAGAATTGACCTTCTTGGAGGTCTCGTGGACATCGTGCTTAGCCTTGGGGCTAAGCGATCCTGAGGATAAGACTTCCTCGTACTTAGCTTGATGAAACTCTATGACAAGAGTTTCTACAGTCGTCCCCATGAGGTGGACGTCGGACTGCGCCAGCACTTCCTCATCGGAAAAGCTAGTCCCCAGCAGAGTCGCCATCTTTTGTTTGTTGGAAAAATTGCAAAGAAGAGAATAAAGAAAATTGACTTGGATTCCTTTGATCTCGATTACAACTTGATTACAAAAGAGGAGAGAACGAATTTGATTCTCTCCTTTGTTTAAAACTGGGTTCTTCTCGGTAGCGATGGAATGCCTCCTTCGATTGCTCGCGTCGAAATTGCTCTCCGTTGACGATCCGACCGTCTTCTATTTCGTGGGAACGATGAACTTTTGTGGAAAGTTTTATAAGTAACTCTTCAACGAGTTTAAGAACTCTGAACGAGTTAGAACTCTGTGCATAGAGTTGTTAGAACCGAAAATTCGGTTAATGATCAAGCTGTTATTCTATTGTTGAAGAATCCTCTCAAATTTGATCTTCTGAGTTTGATTCAAAAATCATATCTCCAAGGATTTCGCTGATGCCGTTGAATCGCCAAAACCTGAGTGGTTGAGATCTCCCCCCCCCCGATCTTTGCTAACTCTTCTCTTTTTAGAACTGAAAATCTCCAACCTGTCCGGTTTTGATCTTTTGATGCCAAAAATCCAACATTTTGCTCTGTTGGGTTCGTTGAGCTTTTATAGGGGGATAAGGGGTTGTAACTGACCCCTATATCCGCTCCTACGTGGGCGAACATCCCTCAGAACGTGGGATAAACGGTTTTGGAACCGTTCGACTCATGTTTGAACGAGTCAAACGCCCAATCTGGCGTTCAGAACCCAACTTCGCTTCTTAGGATTGAGACGCGAGGTTGGGTGTTAGCTGAACACCATTGAACGCGAGGGTCGCTCGCGTTTATCTTGTTGCCTGCTTGGAAACGCGGGGGTCAGTGTTGATTGAACCCCTATGAACGCGAGGGTCGCTCACGTTTGGCTTGTGGCTTGGCGACGCGGGGGTCGCCTTCATTTCCAAAGTGGTGACGCGGGGATGACATCCGCGTCTCAGAATGAGCTAGTTGACTTGTAGCTTCTTCTGTGGTGCATTGCAAGGACCGTTGTTCGGTAATCCTGGCTTTAGCTGTTGTGGAGTGTGAAAATCGTCAGATTGTAACTTTCACTGTAGATTGTGAAGACTGCTGAATAGAGTTTTCATCCGTTGTCGGAAGTGTCGTTGAATTGTAACTCTTCTCGATCTATGTGAAAAGCCCTCCATTCGTTTCATCCGTTGTCGGAAGTGTCGTTGAATTGTAACTCTTCTCGATCTATGTGAAAAGCCCTCCATTCGTAACTTTCATTCACCGATCCGTAAGCTATTTGATTGTAGCTTTCGTTGTAGGAGCTAGACGGGAATCAACATCCATAGTGTTTTAAAGATGAATATTTGCCCATAGCTCTCTACCAACCAACTATCTGATTGTATGTTTCGATTATTGGCGCGAAAGCTATTTGACTGTAGCTTTCGTTGTAGGAGCTAGATTCGTTGTTGGAATTTGACGGGAATCAACATCCATAGTGTTTTTAGATGAATATTTGCCCACAGCTCTCTACCAAGCAACTCACCAACTGAGTCCAACCTTTTATTTCTGAAATCATCCCACCGCTCATCAGCATCTCTAATAGTTGCTAATATAATATTAGTCATGCTGTTGTCGCAGCCATCAAGATCAATCATCTTAGAGGTGAGGTCGCGTTTGTGGCGATTGTGGAGTTGCGGATGCAGTGATTAGGAAGTCGTCTGATTGTGACCTCCATTGTCGGAGCTTGATAGGGGTTAGCTATTCATTGTGATTTTTAGACAGCCTACACAAATGCTCTGCATGCTCTGCTTCACTCTTAGAGTACACCAAGATGTCATCAATAAAGACCTCCACAAACTTGTCCAATACATCATAGAATACCAAATTCATCAGGTTCATGAATGTTGTCGGCGCATTAGTCACACCAAACGGCATCACTAAGTATTCATAATGTCCATATCTCGTCCGGAACGTAGTCTTGGGGACATCAAAATCCTTAACCTTCACCTGGTGATACCCGCTCCGCAAATCTAGCTTAGAAAATACTATCGATCCTCCCAACTGATCGAAAATATCATCGATACGGGGAAGTGGATACTTATTCTTCACTGTCACCGCATTCAACTCCCGGTAGTTGATGCACATCCGCTTGGATCCATCCTTCTTCCCCACAAGCAACACAGATACTCCCCAGGCCGATACACTAGGTCGTATCAAGCCTCTCTGCAAAAGATCATCCAACTAAGTCCGAAGCTTGACCAACTCTGTCGGGGGCATACGATAAGGAGTCTTAGGATCGGAGCAACTCCAGGCTTCAAATCTATGGAAAACTCAATTGCCCGATCCGGTGGCAATCCGTAAATATCATCGGGAAACACATCTTCAAATTCCCGAACTACAATTGGCTTCTCGGATTCCACTTGCATCGTAGCTAACGTCGCCTTCTTCGGTCTAGTTCTGTACTCTACAGGTCCGATCGATGTGCTGCCACTGGTGAACTCAAATCTTGGGTGATCCGGTATCTCGAATACTACGCTCCGATGACGACAATCAATGGTGGCAAAGAATGACCCCAACCAATCCATCCCAAATACTGCATCAAAACTCGGCAAATCAATCACCAGAAAGTCTGCAAAGAGTTCCCTCCCGCAGATAACCACATGACATGCTTTATAACCACTGGATGCTACTAAGACGCCACTACCAGTGTTGATATTCTAGCCCGTAGTCGGAGAAGCTATAGGAAGAGAGTGGGCACTCGCAAATCGACGAGACAAGAAACAATAGGAGGCTCCAGAATCAAAGAGTGATAAAGCCGGAACAGAAGAAACAAGAACATTGCCTATTATAGGAGGATGTAATGCAACTAACTTAGTATTCATAAACAATCCTATCATAATATCATTATGTAATAAGAAAATTCATATGCAATTAAGACTAAGATGAACAATTCTTACCAGTGATAACTTGATCGTTCGCCTCAGCTTCTATGGCTGACATCATGAACATCTGTCGCTGAGGTTGTTGCATGTGTGCTTCCTGATAAAGTTGTTGCTGTGGAGGAAGAGGCCCTGCTCGAGGATAGGATCTGTGCTGAGGCTGTGTTGTCGGGACTAGTCGAGGTGGAGCTGGGAGAGTTGCCCGAACTGGAGGTGGGGGCAAACGAGCCTTCTGCC